TTTTCTTATGCCTCTTCTTCCCCCATCAGTCTCTTAGCTCCTACACACACAGCTCCCTCACTCGGGTCTCCTTCCCCCTCAACCTCTAGAACTTCAACATCTACAAAAGGATCTTCACTGACATGGTTAGCTCTCCTGGGACCAACAATGCCGAGGCCTACCATAGCTGGGCTGACCTTCGGGATGTCCTCTTCAACCTGGTAAGCAAGGGTCAACAATGAAATAAGAAGTCCCTTCTGTCCTGGTCTCCTTAGTGGACACAGACCTTTCCCTTATCAGTGCAAATGGCCAGCAGTGACCACAACCCTCCTTGGCCCCTCTCTGACCCGAGCCTACCTGTGCCCCCCACCCTTTTCTAGTGTGAAAACCTGGTGAAGTCCAGCGAAGCAAACTCCGCCGCTCATGAGGAGTTTGAGGTGATGCTGCTGATTGCTCATTACTACGCTACACGATCTGCAGCCCAGAGCATCAAACAGCTGGTAAGATGCAACCAGAGAGATCCAGTGCAGAGCCCTCAGTCACAAGGATGCGCCCTCAGACCTAGGAGGCCAAACAGATCCGAGTTCTGGGTCTTCGAGCTTAGGCTCCTCGACTGCCACGTTTCCTTTGTGCAAAAGTCTCTTCTTTCTAAACCGTCCTTAACACTTGCAGACATGAGGTTTCTTCCTGTACTGTTCTGACCGTAGGGCTTTGTGCCCACAGTTCTACCAGTCTCATTACGTTGAAACACTCACATAAGATAGATTTTTTTTTTTTAAAGATTTATTATGTATACAGTGTTCTGCCTGAATGTTTGCCAGAAGAGGGCATCAGATCTCATTATGGATGGCTGTGAGCCACCATGTGGTTGCTGGGAATTGAACTCAGGACCTCTGGAAGAGCAGCCAGTGCCCTTAACTGCTAAGCCATCTCTCCAGCCCAGATATGATAGCTTTTATGTGCCTCCTGGAAGTACACTTTTGACTTATTTGGTTATAACTGTGCATACATTTCATGTACTTGGTCAACTCCTAGAAGTGAAAGAGCCCTCCCCATACATAACCTGAGTGGGTTATGTTATACTGACGAAAAGAACTAAGGCCAGAATAGCCTGAGATCTAGAGGGGTTCAGAACTGCTTGCTGGTTTTCCAGCTCCATGGCTGTCTTGGTCACAGGCTCACTGGTGACCAAGCTCAGTCACCGTAGGACCAGGATCGTAAACTCTGCCTTTAATCCACAGGAAACCGTAGCTGCCAGGCTTTCTGTCTCGCTCCTGCGCCACACCCAGCTATTACCTGCGGACAAGGCCTTTTACGAAGCAGGCACGGCTGCCAGGGTGAGCCGGGACGAGGGAAGGGTGGGGCCGAAGAAACGAGGAAGTCTAAAGTGGAAGATGGAGACCGCCCTGAGCAAAGCTGAGCAAAGCTGAGCAAAGCTGAGCATGGGGCTGACGTTGGGGACGGTCAGCCTCCTCCTGGAGCAGCCCCCTGACCCCCAGGAAGGATTCAACCTCAAACCCATTTGCAACTTGTCTCTTCTAGGAAGTTGGCTGGGAAAATATGGCTTTCATTTTCCTCAACCGGTTTTTGGATCTGACTGACGTAAGTAGGAAAACCGTCTAGAGATCGGGATGCTCTGCCTGTCCCCGGCTGTGCCTGTCTATCTCCTGGTTGACTGTTCTGTCACAGGCAATAGAAGAAGGGACTCTGGATGCCCTTGACCACTCAGATTTCCAGGACACAGACATTCCCTTTGAGGTGCCACTCCCGGCCAAGCAGCATGTACCGGTAAGGTGTCACCAGTGGGTTGGCACTGAGAAGGGAGGATGGCTTTGGGTTGCTAATTGTCAGTGACCTCAGCCTTCACTATTGTTCAGGGAAAGTAGAGGCAGTGACAATGTCCTTCAGATCCAAGGTGGGCTACTTATAGCTAAAGCCGATGTATGGCTAAGGCTCAGGAAGACCCGTCCTCACCACTGCCCCAAGCCCCCACCCCCACCCCCATGGGAAGCTGGTGCTACCGAGTCTCTTTCCCAGGAGGCCCAGAGGGAAGAGGTGCGAGACTGGGTGCTCACAGTCTCAATGGATCAGCGGCTGGAACAGGTTCTGCCCCGGGATGAGCGTGGGGTCTACGAGGCTTCCCTAGTAGCAGCGAGCACTGGAGTGCGAGCACTGCCCTGCCTCATTACAGGTACCGAACCCCACATCACCCCATATCCCACAGCAAGCAGAAAGGAGGGAAAAGCAGCAGCATCAAAAATGCATTTCAGCTGGGCCATGGTGGCGTAGGCCTTTGATCCCAGCACTCAGGAGGCAGAGGCAGGCAGATCTCTGTGAGTTCGAGGCCAGCCAAGAATGTTACACAGAGAAACCCTGAAAATGCACTTCAGTGACAGGACCATCCATCCATCCATCCCACTCTACTCCCAGGCCGCTGTTCACCCGTCCCATTCCCTTGCAACACCAGCACCTTTTTTTTTTTTTTTTTTAAAACTGATTTTCGAGACAGGGTTTCTCTGTGTTAACAGCCCTAGCTGTCCGGGATCTCACTCTGTATAGCCAAGGCTGGCTTCAAACTCACAGAGCGCTGCCTGCCTCCGAGTGCTGGGATTAAAGGCATGCACCACCCCACCCGGCTCCCATCTTATCTTCCACCACAGGTTACCCCATTCTGAGGAACAAAATTGAATTTAAGCGGCCAGGGAAGGCTGCTAACAAAGACAACTGGAACAAGTTTCTTATGGCCATCAAGGTTAGAGAGGGAGCCGAGAACAGTGGGGAGTGGGGTGCAGGGTGGAGGAGTGGGGTGCAGGGTGGTAGAGTGGGGTACAGGGTGGAGGAGTGGGGTGCAGGGTGGAGGGATGGGTGGAGGAGTGGGGTGCAGGGTGGAGGAGTGGGGTGCAGGGTGGAGGGGTGGGTGCAGGGTGGAGGAGTGGGGTGCAGGGTGGAGGAATGGGTAGAGTAGTGGGGTGCAGGGTGGAGGAGTGGGGTGCAGGGTGGAGGAGTGGGTGCAGGGTGGAGGAGTGGGGTGCAGGATTGTCCACAAGGCAGGCACAGAGCCTGCTCCTCATAACATGCGGGAGCTAGTGACCCCTACCTGGCTCTAAGGAGTTCCCCTCACGTTCTCCCTTTGTTCACAGACCTCCCACAGCCCAGTGTGCCAGGATGTTCTCAAATTCATCAGCCAGTGGTGTGGCGGGCTCCCCAGCACCAGCTTTTCTTTTCAGTGACTGGTGTGGCGGAGACATTTAGCTCTCTGCCCCTCATTAAAGTTCTGTAAGTAGTTGACTGCTGTATTCTTTGATCTACATCTCCCCAGCACACCTCAGCGCCCTTTACTCTGAAAGTAATGTAATCAGGCAGAAGACAAAAACAAGTTCTTTTATTACAATTATTTATATCACCCTGGAGTCAGGGCCCCTTGCGTAGTAGAAAACACCTGTGGACTGCGCCTCAGAAGAGCACCTGCCTGATAAAGGAAGAGCCGACCTGCATCAGAGAGCCATCAACACAGCAAAAAACTGGCCCCAGTCCCAAGAATGCATCCACTCCAGGGCCTCTTACCTGTCCTAAACCCAGGTTCTCTGTGAAGCCTGGAAATCCTGGTGACGATGGAGTAGCTTCACGTTTTCCTGCCTTCTACACTCAGGAGGTTCAAGCTCTGTCAGTTCCTCCAGCTGCAGCAGAGGGTGGATTCAGTGACTAGGCCTTCAATGGCACACAGCTCCTTTCTACACAACCAGGCCTTCTCCTCCTACACAACCCTTCCTGCTCCTCTTCCTTACCTGCCCCTGCAACCCTTCCTTCCTGCAGGGCCCAATTCCCCGTAGGGTGAGTGCCGCGACACAACAGTAACCAGAGAGAGCAGCCTCGGCTGCAGACATGAACAGAGAGGGGATCCAGAGAGCCAAGGCTGTATCCTAAAACCAAAAAGTAACAGAGGGCTAGGCTTGGAATGGGGCAGGAGAGCACACAGGGCATAGCTGAGGACCACCAAAGTTTGGGAACAAGATTAAGCTCACATAAATTCTGGTGGGATCAAAGGGGCAGTCGGTGTGTCCAGGCCCCTGGTCCAGAGGTATGGAAGGATCCAGCAGTCCGGGATGGCAGTCAGCAATAAGGCGGCGGCCACCATTGGCAATCGTGAGCGACACAGCAAGGAGGAGGCCCATGGAGCAGGCAGCAGACAAAAGCAGGTTCACTAGGGCCAGCGCCAGAAGGGCCCAGTGCTAGTGGGGTAGAAGACCCGGGTGAACAGCCCGGTTACGTTTCCCAGGGACTTAGACACGAGTTTCTCTATTTGAGGCAGAGCTCAGCTCAGACACCTCCACCCCTCTCACCAGTCGTGGGCGAAGAAGGTTCCTGGATGCCAAGAGGGCCACAAGTCCCACGGAAACGCTCTGCGGAAGCAACAAGCCGATGGTTCACTGTCTCTCTGCGCCCATTCCACCCGCCTACCGGTCCATCCGCCCGCCACGCTCACCAGCAGCCCCGAACCCACGGAGATGACATTGGCCGTGGTGTATTCCGGCGTGACCGCGCCACGGGGGTTGGCCACATGCCGCAGGACAGTACCATGCAGCACAGCTCCCACCAAAAGGTTCACGTGGCCCACCAGGAGCAGCGCGAGGCCCACGCGCATCAGCCGCCTGGGCCCGCGGGCGGCGTCTGAAAAGTAGGGGGAGGGGCAGGTATTAGCCGTGCAGGGCGGGGCCACGGGGCCAGCCACGGCGCGTGGGACGCCGGGGAGCTACAGGTGAGTTAAGTCGTGCAACTTACCGAAGACGCAGAGGCGGCAGCACCTCATCGTGGGCCGCTCTGCCCCCGCCACCACCCGTGCGCCCTACCTGGACCAGGCCTCGCCCGGCCGCCGACCTGGAGTCCAGCTTCCGCGCCGCCGCAAGGCAGCTCCACCTGAGCCCGCCCCGCCCCGCCGAGGCCCCGCCCCCAAGGGGCCGCCCCGCCTGGCCCCGCCCCCACGCGGGCAGCTGTGCCACCCAATGAGCCGCCAAACACCAAACGACGCTTTTAGCAAAAAGTAGACTTTATTACAGCAGCAACTGAGGCGATTCGAATGGCCCCCGGGGCCACCCCTGCAGCACCACCTTTCTGTCCCGCCCATCCGCCCCAGCGGGATCTAGAAGTCAGCTCCCCCAGTGCCCGTGGGCCTCCTGTCCACACAGGCAGGGCAGGGGCCAGCAGGTCAGCCACTAGCCCCAGCTACAAGGTGGCTGCTGAGAAGGCCCTGGCCCACGTCTGTGCAAAACAAGTAAACAAAGTGCAGAGGGAGGAGAGGGCGAGGGGCAGGGTGATGCTCAACCAGGGCGCCCCAAAGCCCTCCTGAATAATAAGGGGGAGAAGGGGCTTCACGGGTAATACTGACTGGGGAGAAGGGGGGCAGCCACACTCAGGGGTCTGGCTCAAGAGAGCTCTATGAGGAGACGGTGACAGCGGCTGGGTTGAGGGTGCTGTTCCTGGCAAAGTTGAACTTGTTGAGGGTCTCCTCGAGCAGAGAGGTCAGGCGGCTCTGATCGGCCTGAGGAAGAAGCTCAGTGAGGCAGGGCTGAGGGCCGGCAGGGAGGCAGCAGCCAGCGCAGAGGGCAGGAGCCCCACTCACCTCACTAATGAAGCCCAGCTGCACCAGCTCAGCCGCCAAGTCCGGGATGTTCTCATCTGACACAAGAGAGGAGGGGCGGTGAGCACAGCACCGTACGGGAGGACCCCCGGGAGCCCTCCTCAGACCACCCAGTTTCAGGAGCTGGACAGTCATGCTGTGAATCCCTCTCCCCCTGACACGTCCCCTCACAGGATAGGGCCTCCCTCCTCCAAAAGAAAGGGGACCTCACTTGGCATCAGGTCACAGCTCAGGTGCCGGTTCAGCTTGTCCTCCAGCTTCAGCAGAAGTGTTAGCTAGAGAACAGGATGATCACGGAATGAGGCTCCTCTTCCCCGGGCGGCCCCGGGCGGTCCCGGTGTCCCGCCGCCGCACAGCCCCGCAGCCCCGACTTACGTGGTGTTTGACCCCCTCCTCCACTGACTCGATGTTACACTGCATCAGCACCACCTGGAACACAAGAGAGGCGGCCACTAGAGAGCAGGCAGGAAACGGCAGCTCCTGGAAGCCTTTCCGGCCCGCAGAAGAACACGGTGGCCAGGGCAGAAACGCACTCCAGAGGACAGTGCCGTAGTTGAACGTCTCTGCCCCCACGGCCACAGACACAGTCACCCAGAGTCCCACCTTGCGTGTCTCCACCTCAGCTGGCTCAGGAGTTGGAGTTTTGACAGACGGGGGCACAACAGGTGACGTCACCTCCTCCTGCTGTGGCTGCTGAGGCCGAGGTAGGCCAAAGGCTGTCAGAGGGTAGATCCCATTCCTGGGGGAGATGACATGAGTCATACCAAGGTGAAGTCTTGGGGCACCTGCCCCTGCTTCCTCACAAGTCCACCGTCTCCTCTCACCTGACATCTTCAAGGAATTTGTCCAGCTCCAGGGCCGGTGACTGAGAGTACCTGAAAGGAGGAAACGGCCTGAGCATTCCAGAGCCTCGGAGGGAGAGTGAGCAATCTATCCCCTTCAGACCCTCTCAGCTGCTTACTCACAGAGTCTGAACTGAGTCTCGTCCTGGCCCAGCAGGGATTTCAGCTAGTACAGCACTGGTATCCATGTTTTTGGTGATCTCCTCCAGAGCGTTCTCTGGGATCATGTCTGGTGGGTATAATGGGGTGGAACATTATAAAAAGACAGAATTGCTTCACTCAAGGCTTAGAGGCACAGGAGCAGTAATGAATCCCTTTGGTAATAGAATAAAGACGCCATGCCAGGGATGGAAGCCCCAGGTTGGAAGAAAATCCTAGTAATCTCTGTTTAGCATGGATTCAGTCCCAGTACCAATTTCTAGTAGGGTCCAGGGGACTCACGTTGGTGTCCCACAATACAGTGAGCAGCGAGCAGTTTGAGTGAGGGCACTTCAAACAGTGCTGGGTGGAACAGAAGCTCTCTGGCTGTTGGTCTTCGGGCAGGCTCAGACTGCAGGCACTTTTGAATAAACTCCTGTAAGAGAACAAGAAACTGGAACAGGCATCCGGCAAGCCTCTCACATCCTGTAACTTTCATTAGACCTAGTAAGAGGTCTCGTACATACCTGGAAGTCAACACTGTTGGAAACATTGACATATTTCCTGAAAGGACTTTAAATATATATATATGGTAATGAAAAAAATTATCATTCACTGTCTTTCTGGTTTGTTTTTCATCTTAGACTTTTATTTTTCGGGGACATGGTCTCATTAAGTGGCTTAAGCTGGCTTGGAACTCACTATATAGCCCGGGTTGGCTTTGAACTCACAATTCTCCTGCCTCAGCCTTTGAAGTGCTGGGATTACAGGCATGAGCCACCATGCCTGGCTTGGTTATTACTTTTCTACTCTCCAAGCACAATACTTTTTCTTGAATGTTGAGACTTGGTATTTCTTTTTTATATAGATATGTATATTGTTTGTTTGTTTTGTTTTGTTTTATTATATTAGCTCATTCATGGCCAACTTTTTTTAGAACTTTGCCAAATTTAGTTTTCCCTTCCCAAACTTAGCAAACTATTAAACTCTGTAATAGTCACCATATTTTTTTGTTTCACTAGACTGTTATCCCAACCTCCTTCATCCACTCAATTCCTGATTCACTCTGCTTCCCATGCTTTCTTAACCACTGAGCCATCTCTCCAGCCTTTTCTCGTGCTTTCTCTAGCCATTCTACCTCCTTTTCTGCCTTTGACCAAATCGCATGGCAACGTGCTTTCTTACTTTCAGTTTTAAAGGCCAGCAGAGTCACAGACCTGATCTTTTACCCAACTATCCCATCCTAATGTGGACTGGAACCTGATCCCACTCTAGTAACTCTTCGACTAGACCGATGCTTCTTTCTTGCTCTCCATCATTGTCTCTGTTAACTGTTCCTTCCTTGTTTTTTGTTTGTTTGGTTGGTTGGTTTTGTTTTAGTTTTTGGAGACAGGGTTTCTCTGTGTGTAGTTCTGGTTGTCCTGGAACTCCTTTTGTTCCCAGGCTGGCCTCGAACTCACAGAGATCCGCCTGCCTCTGCATCCCAAGTGCTGGGATTAAAGGTGTGCACAACCACCACCTGGCTGTTGTTTTGTTTTTGAGGCAGGCTGTAATGTAGCCCAGGCTGGCCTTGAACTCCTGATCCTCCTACCTCCACCTCCCAAGTGCTGGCATTATAAAGTGTATGCCTCTATGCCTGACTTGAGTTAACTGTTCTTGTTCAGACTGTCCTGTCTCACTATAGTTAATCTACCTACTGATTCATAATTCCTTCATCCTTTAAATCTTAGCTCATTAAATATAAAATCCAAAATGACTGGTTTGGCCGGGCGGTGGTGGCGCACGCCTTTAATCCCAGCACTCGGGAGGCAGAGCCAGGCGGATCTCTGTGAGTTCGAGGCCAGCCTGGGCTACCAAGTGAGTTCCAGGAAAAGGCGCAAAGCTACACAGAGAAACCCTGTCTCGAAAAACCAAAAAAAAAAAAAAAAAAAAAAATGACTGGTTTGATATTTAAATTTACTTTAGAATGCCAAGATTACTGTGTAAGAGTGTATAGCAATTGACCGAGGTAACCATCAAATCAGCTCACTTCTATGTAGATATACTTAACTAGGAAACAATTTTTATCCTCAATACTACCTATCGGAACCCCTTCACAGGAAAATCGTACAGTTTAATCTTTTCTACTTTGATTTTCTTCTTTTTCTCTTAGAACATATCCCAAGAGGATAAGCCTGAAAGCATTTGAAAATCAGCTAAGGATGGAATTGACCCCAAGTACTCTTACCCTCTGTAGTGAGTCTTCCAGGAGCTGGATGGCGCTGCTGATGGCTTCCTGTGGCACATATGAGGACTCTCCATTGCCCTGAATCTCCAGCACAGCCATCTGCAGGGAGGAGGAACCCAAAGGGAACATGAGGTCTAAGAAACAAAGCCTGTTCAAACCCACAACCCCTCCCAGCACTTCCCTTGTGTCTTCTCCCTTCCCTCAAGTCTCTCACCTCCAGTGCACACATGCCAAAGGAGTAGATGTCCACCGCTGTTGTCACATTAGTGACTTCTAGAGAAAACACATGTCTATGTAAGAAGTGGCCGGCATACTTCTAAAATGTATGCAAGTACAGAGAGATGAAGTTTTGGTTGTAATATCCCTGTATCTCAGGGGTGGCTCTATCAGGGAGGGAGTGGTGGAGGGGCACAACCTGAGGGGCTGTAATTGTTTTTTTTTTAAAGCGGGGTCTGAGACTGGGGCAGAGAGGCAGGGTTCCTCACCTCCATACTCTGGTGCAAAGAAGTGCAGGTTCTTCTGCTCTTCCCGGCAAGTCTTCACATGATTGTTGATAGTGTCAGGAGCCACTAGGAGTAGGGAGACACCCACAATCTGACCACCACCAAAGCATGATCTTACTCTAGAGAGAGGCTGCAAAAGCCATGTTTCTCCTGAAGTGTCCTTTCTAACACTCAATGGACACAAACCTACCACTCTCCCAATTCTGAGCCATAGACTACATACGACCACCACCTATGTCCCCTTTCTGCAGCCAAGGTCCCTAACTCAGGAACAACAGTCTACACACTGTACAGACAGACACTGAGGCTTTAGACTCATCAAGTAACACAGTCAAAGGAAAAGCTTTCATTTATGACCTGCTCATCCTTCCAAAGTCCCATCTATCAAATTCATAGGCCCATGAAAATGCTAGGTTTTATTTGATTCATCCGCCCTGCAATGGACATAAAAACACAGGCAGCCCTTCCTACGATGGGACAACTGGAGACCTCATGAACCTGGATAAAGGCAAAGCAGCATTAACATACAACCAAGGAGCTAGCCTCTTCCTTACCCGTCTGTGTTGACTGAAACGCAAAAAAATACCTCAAAAGTGAACCAATACCCTGAAATCAGTTTCACTTTTAATCCACCAAAACGTCAGACTCTTGTCCAAAACCTTATTCCTCAACATCACCTACCACAGGACTGAACGAGGAACCAGGGCCAGGCTGGACTCACTCTGATCGTAACAATGACTACACATCACAGAGAATCTAGGAGCACAGTATGATTTAGGGAGCCAGCGGATGATGGGGGGAGTCTGACTAAGAGGAAGTGTCCAGCCAGGCAGAATCCACAGGAAACAAGCAGGTCACAAAGGGACAAGCAGGTGGAGGGCTGGCGGGGCAGAAGCTTGGCAGGCAGAACTAGGCAGGGAAGCGGGGAACAGGCCTTGCTCCCACGACTGCATGCACTGGGCAGCCGCAGAGGGAGCAGCAGGAGCACAAACAGAGCCCCAAGTGGGGCAGAGGGAGCTCTCACCATTAGCAAAAATCCTATGAAAGACTGTTGGGAACAGAGCAGCCCGTAAGCGGGAGGGAGGAAAACAGAGAAAAGTTGTGAGCGATGGAGCAGCCAAGCCCCAGACAAATGGTAACAACACACAGACACAGCACACGGAAATGTCACTGCACACAGATACACGGCAAATGGAAGCACTCACAGCAGGCACAGTCTGGAACCTCTTTGGTAGGGTTTGGCCCAAAGGGCTCAAGTCAGACCTCAGATCCATCTCTTGCCCTTTCCCAGCCTCCTATCAATTTCTCTGTATTAGTCCAAGTTTCTCGCCAAGAAGTACAAGATTGTATACCCTACCCCATTTCCACTCATTGGTCTCTCCCTATGAATTATCTCTACTAAAAGCCTCTCTTATCACCAGCCCACACCTCAAAATTCGCTGGTCTCCCCATGCCTTTTGCCTTACCCCCATGGTTCCCAAATTCCCGAGGCGCCCCTGCCCAGAACCTCTCCCTCCCTCACCAGAGCCAATCTTGATGAGTCCGTTGTGCTGGATGAAGATGGTGTCACAGGTCAGGTTCCCATGGATGATGGGAGGGTCACAGGAGTGCAGGTAGCTGTGGGGGCACTGGGCTGTTAGAGGGGCCACTAGGAAATTAAGGGCAGGGGGAACCCAAGGGTTAAGAGGAGCAAGGGCCAGGTCTCCTCCTGGACACCATAATGATAATCCCTGTACTCTGAATCTCTGTTATGCCGGGTGACTTAATTAGGATAAGCACTAGGAGAATGAGGCAGGGTCACTGCAGTGATTAGGACATTAGGAGGACCCCATAAGGGGGAGCTAATCTTGTCAGCACGTGACTCAAAGAAATTGGGGAGAGGCAGAATAGAAAAGCAGAGTAGTGCCTTGCAGTCTGTTTAAGGAAATAAATCAGGAGATACTGGGGGAAAAAAACTAACCAGATATTACTTACCTTAGGGCAGACAGAATCTGTGTGCACCAGCGTTTCCAAGCCTGGAAAAGAGTTTGGTCCAAGGATCAGCAGGTAATATTCTCTCTTCCCCCTTACTTCTCCCCTCTCTACCCACCCTCCTCCAGGGTCTCACTAGATTGCCCTAGCTGTCCTGAAACTGTAGATCACACTAGCCTTGAACTCAAGACCTACCTGCCTCTGCTCCCACTGAACTACGTCTAGCCTCACACCGTACCTTTTCATTCATAGTCTTGTGGTTCTTCTTGGTCTTCTTCAGAAACTGCTTAAGGCTTCCAGATGACATGTATTCTGTGATGAAAATCACCTAGAGGGGCAAAGCACTTCCTGTTATGGCTTTAATCTAGACTTTCTCTCTCACCTGGTAACATTTACACCACATACATATTAAACTGTGTTTGTCAACTTTCCTTTTCTTTTAATAATTTATTTTTATTTTGTGTGCATTGGTGTTTTGTCTGTGTGTATATCTGTGAGGGTCCCCTGGAACTGGAGTTACAGACAGTTGTGAGCGGCCATGTGGGTGCTGGGAATTGAACCCGGGTCCTCTAGAAGAGCAGTCAGTGCTCTTAAACACTGAGTCATCTCTCCAGTCCCCAACTTTCCTTTTCTTTAATATCACTTTGTTAGGCTCAACAGCACAAAGAAAATACAGAAGCAAACATGTTCACTCATTTCTCCCCGTCTTGAGCTGGGAAATGCTATAGGTAGCAGATGAAGCCCTACTCTCCCTACCACAGCTGGAGATTTTTAGTTCTTGTCTCAAAATCACCTCTTTGAATGTAAAAAGGACAGTAAATACAGTTGCTGTCTGGCAGAGAGTTCAGGAAACACTAGGCAAAAGAATCTTACCCTGGCCTTGTTCTCTTTAACATCAGCCCAGTACTTGTGAAACTTAACAATGTTAAGATGCTCCAACTGAATCAGATTATCAAACACTGCACGGACCTTTTCCTGGCAAGGGAGATGGAAAAGCAGTTCACAAATCACTGTAATAACAAGAGGGCATTCCCTACCCCTCCCCACAGATGATCCAACCACCAAGTTCCCCTCCCAGTCACTCCCCACCGACAACAGCTGTTTAAACCCTGGTTCTAGTGCCCCCGCCTCACCACCTACCTCCTGCAGTTTGTAGTTCTTGCGTTCAGAGAACTGCACCTCGTTCCACACAACCTCCACACCCTCCTCCGTATCCATGGCCAGGTACGCACTGTCAATACCTGGGACATTCCGCTGATTCACCTGGGAAGCAATTCGAGAGAAATGAAGTCACCTCCCGAACCTGCCATGTCAGTACTCCACACGACCACCTTCCAGCTCCACCCTACCCAGTCTGTCTGCTCTTCCGGACAGCTACTCTAGTCCTCACTTGTACAGCTGACTCTCCCCAGAACTCCATCTCCACCACTCACCTCTTCTCTCCTCTTCTGCCAGCGTCCACAGGGCGACTCTTCCAAGATCTCAGACTCATCTTCGCTTTCTTCTTCCTCCTCGGGGGAAGCAGCTGAGGTTGTAGAGGTCACAGGAGGTGACACTGAAGTCAGGCCAGGAGCTGAAGAAGAGGATTCTACCTTTGGGTCTGAGCCACTGCTGACTACTGTTTGGGACTCCCCTTCCGACATGCTGGAATGAACACTCAGCCTGCATTGGTTGGGCAAACACAGGAGAAGACAGAGGTCAAAAACACATCTATAAAACTTTAATAGTCTTGCCAGGCAGTGGTGGCGCACGCCTTTAATCCCAGCAGAGAGGCAGAGCCAGGTGGATCTCTGTGAGTTCGAGGCCAGCCTGGTCTACAGAAGGAGTTCCAGGATAGCCAAGGCTACATTGAGAAACCCTGTCTCTAAAAACCAAAAAAAAAAAAAAAAAAAAAGAAAAAAATAATAGTCTTAATTAACTTCATCTTCAGATTCAAAAATACATCTCCCTTGTTTCCTTTAAATCTAAAATCAGAATTACTCCTACCTAATACTGAAACATGAATGACTCTCCTGCTTCTGGAGAAGAGTTGTTAGTTACCTCAGCTGAAGACCACCCAGAGATGCCAAACACAAGGCTAATGACAACCTACTTTGGTCAAACCAAAATACACAATCAAATGGGTTCCCCATTCCTTCTCAGCAAACAGTGATGCAATTAATATAGTCCCCACTGACTCTCCATATGTGCCTCAATTTTCACTGTGCTCAAAGACTAGGGTACACAGGCACTACTCAGAACACATGACTCTAGACTCCAAAATGTTCCACTGAGACAGCTCTATGGGTCTACACCATCCTCAGCCAACGAGCTGAAATGCCTAACTGATTTAGACTACTAGAACCAACAGTGACATTAGCCATCCTTCCACACAGACTAAAGCTGCCTTTGGGCCAGGTGACTGGCAGGAGTGACCTCCATCCCTAATGGCCTCACCTTCCTTATGATGTGTGACTGTGGCAAATGGGTATTGTTTAACAGCATTTCTTTTCATTTACTCACTGAAATCTTTAGTAACATTTGTAGGTTAGTAGGTCACACACTGGGTGGGTGCTTGAGATACATCAGTGAATTAAATGAAATGCCTGCACTTAATTAGCACAAATTGGAAGGAAAAAAAGATCAAAGACCTTAAGTTTCCAACTTTCCTTTCATTCACATTGCTCAAAGGCTGTGACTTTTCCGTTCTCTGAAGCACTGCATCTGATACCGGTTACAAATACAAGTACAAATAATTCAAGCTATAGCTTTCATGGGAAAAGTGTTCAACAGTAACATTTCTACAGGGGCAGAGTTGCTTGAAGAAAATCCTAAATTTTTCATTAATCCATGCAAAAAATAAAAGGACCACCAAAAAAAGGCTGAAAAGGAACTGCAACATGTGAGTGCTGTCTAGTGGGAAGGTGATACCCCCAAAGTAAACTTGCATTCCAAAGTCAGCTCAGAATACCAGAAACCTGCAATCAACACCAATCCGCCATACACTTCTCTCCGATGTCCCTTTCTGCACCTCTCTCCCCAATCTATACTGTTTTACCCAAATTCAGAGATAAACAACGTTCCAGTAAACTCAAAGAGCAACACCGCACCACAGGAAAAAAAAAATCTGGTAGAATATTTCCCCGATTTAATTTTTAAGAAAAGTCTTTGCCTACCCTAGAAATTCTTAGTCTGCCAAGAAAGTTATGTGCACGTCTTAGCAGTAGAACAGAAAAGATGAGTTAGGCTAAGGAAATAGCAGTCTGTTTCAATTAGTTCCTCGAGCAGCTACGTTCACGCGATGTGCCTAAAATCTGCACCGCTAAATTAAACTTCTAGCGAGATTACAACAGAAGATACGAGTAGAATGTCAATACAGGAAGCTGTGGCCTATGGAATCCAAGACTACTGGACGAAGGACACAGCCACTTCACAGTTAGGTCACTCGAAGAGAAGACTGTCATCAGTTAGAGACAAATGTCCCGGAAGGTACACGCTTGTGTCTTCCTTCCCTAGTCCCGTCCCGGTAGGTAAAATGAGAGCAGTGTCTAAAGATCTGAAAGCACTCCCACTCGGGATGCAGAAACTTCTGCATCACAGGGGGTTCTGCCTCGGGGCTGCTGGCAGGTTTCCCGGGGGATCACACGTGGGAAGGCTCCCTGACGTCGGTGAGGGCCATCTCCCCGCAGCCTCTAGCTACCCCGAGGGCGCACAGCACATTCACCCCCAGGGCATCGTCCGTTATCTTGCAAAGTTGCTCGCCCGGCTTCCATTATTAGTTGAGAGCCCACTTGCGCGTCACCCCACCTGGCTCGCAGCCGCAGGCCGCTCTGAGGTCAGCACTAGTGCACAGTCGGAAAGGAAGCGGAGCTCAGGGACACGAGGCCCTCAGCATCTCCACACTCCAACAGGTCGCCCGGCCAGAATAGGGAAGGAAGCGGCGGCGGGCGCCCAGGGCCTCACCAGACAGGAGCCGGAGCACCGCAGCCACCTCATCAAAGGCCGGCCCCGCCGCGCCGTCAGGCCGCAGGCCACGCCCCCGCGCTCGGCGCGCCGCCCCGCGAGCAGGCCGGGCCCGGACGCCGCGCTTCCTTCCGCAGGCCCTCCGGCCCGGGCCCCCGCCCCGCCCCCGCCCGCCCCCGCCCGCCCCGCCTCTCGCGGCCAGAGTTCCAAGAGAACGCCGGGGCCCCCCCCCCCCCCCCCGACCCGCGCCCGCAGAATTCCGGGCCGCCGCGGCCACGCCGGAGACACCAAGGAGGGCGGGCGGCGCCCTGGGGACCAAGGTGGCCCCCTCAGCTGCGACGGCCCCGGCCGGGTCGGGCCTGACTCCCGAGGGAGCAGGGCCGCCCGACAGCACCCCGCCGGCCGGGTCCCGCCGGCCCCGCGGGCTCGGGGCGATCCCGGCGCCCTTCCGCGAGCCCCTCCCTCCAGGGCCTCCTCCTCCGGCGCTCACCTCCCGACTCCGCGCCCGCAGCCTGCGCCTCAGCTCCAGCTCGGGTTCCGGGGCCTCCGATCGCCAGCGACTCCCTCCCAGCTGCGCTCCGCAGCGCAACCGAACGGCGGGCCCCGCCCTCGCGGCGTCCCGACCAACAGATGGGCGGTGCCGCACCGCCGCCAGGTTTCCATTGGACAGGCCGGCGGGGGGCGGTTCCCGCAGACGGGCGCTCGCCGGGCAGCCGCCTGCCGGGTCTCCTCCCCTTGCGGGGCTCCGGCGGACGGCTTGCCAGCGTTGTCTCCTCGGCTCTCGGTCCACCCTCCGCCCTGCCGAGGTGCCCCGAGTAATTCTGCCGGACGAAAGCAAGGCCTTCTCCCTCGCTCTTCTTGAAAGCGCCATGACAGTCCTAATCCTCCGGAAAGACAAAAGGAACGAGAGACGCAGCCTCAATCCCGGGGACGAACCCGCCCACATTTCCCGTTTGGGAAGGAGACAGTGTGCTCCGGGCACCAGTGTTTCAGGAAGCTTTTTGTTGTTGTTTTTAATCGTTTAACGTGAAAATTAATAGTTGCTGATTTGCCTAACACTGTTTACCCAAACTCACCCGATTTGACCCTCATAAAGAAGAACTCATTGAAATTATCCAGTGATAATAGTTAACGCGTGCGAAAATGACACAAAAAAAGTTATCCAAATTTAAGTTGATGCGAACCCAATGAAGAATCTGAAGTGAGAAGATTCATCAAAACTGCCGTTGGAGAGGTGTTTGGAAAGGATTTAGAACGGCTGCGAGTTAATGTAAAGAAAGTACAATAGACTCTGGGTAAGCCATTCATCTTGGAAGACTAATGGCAGAATGTAAGGGATGGACATTCATTCTGCCATTATACATGTATTATCAGGGGAGAAGGAGCAATCATCTGACCTGAGACTGTCATAATCACCGATTTCACCTGCCTTAAACGTACTAATTAATCCTAGTTCACAGATTCATTTGGAAATCCTGTAGAAACACTCATTTTCTCATCTCTTCATTTTAAAAGACTTGGTTTTTTGTTTGTTTGTTTGGTTGGTTGGTTTTTTGTTTGTTTTTTGAGACAGGGTTTCTCTGTGTAACTCTGGTTGTCCTGGAACCCACTCTCTAGCCCAGGCTGGCCTGGAACTCACAGAGATCTGCCTGGCTCTGCCTCCCAAGTGCTGGAATTAAGGGCCTGCGCCCCTGATGCCCAGCTAAAAGACTTGTTTTAAAAGCAAAGGTTTCTCTAGGTGGTACTGGTAGCTGAGCAAAGGGAACACTCCTCCACTGTTGGTAGGAGTGCAAACTTGTACAACCACTGTGGAAATCAGTATGGCTGTTTCTCAGAAAATTGGGAATCAATTTACCTTAAGACCCAGCCATACCACTCTTGGGCATATACCCAAGGAATGCTCAATCATACCACAATCAGACTGCAACCCACAGAACCAGGGAGGTTACCTAGCAGGGGGGACCCTAGGATGACTGTGGCTTATAATAAGTTTTGGTTTTACTCAATTACTGGGCAAGCCTCAGTGAAACATTTCACTATTAGGATAAAAATTTGTACTGTATCAAACTGATTATAGAAAAAATAAAATAATTAAAAAAACAAAAAACTAAATTTTCTCTGGGCGGTGGTGTGGTGGTTCACGCTGTTAGTCCCAGCACTCAGAAGGCAGAGACATCCTCCAGGACAGCTAGGGCTACACAGATAAACCCTGTCTTGACAAACAAAAACAAAACCTGAAAAACTACATTTTCAACAGGCATGTAAGGTGAATCTCTGTGAGTTTGAGGCTGATCAGAGCTACATAGTAAGACCCTGTCTCAAAAACCAAGCTTTTTTTTTTCACCCAGCATAGTGGTATATACCTATAATCCCATCATTCAGTAGGCTAATGTCATGAGTTCAAGGTCAGCCAGGACAATCATGAGACCCTCTCTCAAAATAAAATTCTTTTGCATTAAAAGATGCATGTACCTAAAATGTAGAGCACACAATTTCAAAGTTTGTTTTAGTCTCAAGGGAAAGGATGCTCATCCTCTGCGGATTAACCTTTTCTCCTCGTGGGCACCAAGGCAATTGGAACTCCTGAACCGTGGCGAGCATTCATTAAATATCTGTTCATGCTACTTTAGTTCCCCATTATTTTCTGTCAGCACTATCGGCCTTTGCATTTCAACTAGCTATTTCAAATATGCAGAGCAGATCTTCCGGCAACCTCATGTTCAATCCTCTCATTCATACTTAAAATGGTCAACTGCTGCCTACATTTATACCACTTCATTTATGTTTCCTGCTTACAAAAGTAATAAATACATCCTGCTTATAAAAGTAATAAATGTTTGCTGTAAAAACTCAGAAATTGACATGGAGAGTGGGCTCAGCAGTCAGGAGCACTTTCTGCTCTTGCAGATAACCCTAGTTTGATTGCCAGCACCCACATGGCAACTCACAATTGTCTGTAATTCCAGGTTGAGAAAAATCTGGCGCCCTCTTTCGGCCTCCACAGGTACCACCACGCCCTGGGGCAGGTTGAAGTCTTACCTACTGAGTTATCTCTCCAGTCCCTACACAATACTTTCTAATAAAGCCTTTTTAAAAAAACTTTATCAATAAAATATTTCATTTCCCAAATATATCCATATTTAATAACTACCATCGGACAATAGAGTGATTTCCAACATTAGCTATTATAAATATTAGTTTGCAGGTAATATTCTGTTGTATCTTGCCTGTTCATGAAATGATTATTTTGGGGAAAATACAGGTATCGCATTGATATGTTAGATTTTATATAGAAGCTTTATTAAGACAGTGTTCATTCTGCTGAGTGGTGGTGGTGGCACACGCCTTTTATCCCAGCACTGGGGAGGCAGAGCCAGGTGGATCTCTGTAAGTTTGAGCCAGCCTGGGCTATAGAGTGAGATCCAGGACAGGCTCCAAAGCTACACAGAGAAACCCTGTCTTGAAAAAATACAAAAAAACAAAAAACAAATGAATACTTTTCTGAGTGATTAAAGGTTACAGAGTGGTTCAGAGATAAAGAGTTTGCCTAGCATGCTCAAGACCCTGGGTTGCATTCCCAGCACAAAAAGAAAAACATTATGTGTACAACACATTTGTTTGTTTCTCTTTCTTCTTTAGACAAGAGTCTCACTATGTAGTCCTGGCTGGCTCAGTTGTTACTATGTAGACCACGCTGGCCTGGGACCCAGTGATCAGCCTGCCTATTCCTCCCAAGAGCTAGGATGAAGGATGTATGTCACCATGCCAAGGCAGGGCTTCAACTTAACACTATCACACTTCAGTCTCCCAATTGCTGGCATAATAACCCACTCCAGCCTCAACTTGATGTTTTGATATATGTATATATTGATCACCACAATCAAGGTATCTGGCACCTTATATAGTTATCATGTGAGTGAGTGAGTGAGTGAGTGTATGTGTGTGTGTGTGTGTGTGTGTGAGAGAGAGAGAGAGAGAGAGAGAGAGAGAGAGTTCTTAAAATCCACTCCTATTGGGTGGGTAGGGAGGCAGAGAGCATCTGGGAGGAGTTGGAGGAGAGGAAAGAATATGATCAAAATATATGAAAATGTTTAAATAACAAAATATGACAAAACATATTTGAAACAAGGTGAAGCAGAAACTATCATATCGAAGTTGGACACAGCAACCTAACAGGAGGAAAAGAGCCCCAAGAGCAGGCACAAGAGCCAGAGACCCACTCATTCTCAGTCAGAGTCCCACAAAAATACTAAGCTGATAGCTATAATATCTATGCAGAGGATCTGATGCAGACCCATGTAGGCCTGTACTTTCTGCTTCAGCCCCTGTGAGCTCATATGCACCTTGCTTAGTTAATTCAGAGGGCCTTGTTCTCTGGACATCCTCCATTCCCTCTGACTCCTCAGGATTCCCTGAGTTCTAAAGGGAGGGATTTCATGGAGATCTCTCATTTTTAATCTCTCTGCTATGGGTCTCTGCATCTGTCACCATATGATGCCAGAGGAAGCCTCACAGATGATGACTGAATAAGAATAAGGCACTGATCTATGAGTATAGCAGAATATTAGGAGTGGGATGATTTTACTGTTACTTTTTTTTTTTAACCAGTAGCGTTGGGTTATCTAGTCTCTGGTTGTGGTGGTATTGTGTTTTAACAAAAAAAAAGTCTTCAGGGATCCATGACCACACCTAACAGCAACTTTGAAATCTTCAAAAGGATGACGGGACCCCACAAAGATGATTCCACATGGACTATGGTAAAGCCATTAAGCAGGTTAACACCAAGGAAAGATTGACTTTGGACTACAAACTGTTTAGGACAATTTTGAGATGACTAGCTGAGATGATCCAGCCTGACAGACTACTTGAGCAAGGACTTGTGACAAGCCCTAAACTTTCCTATTATACAGAGACTGGACAAATGATACAGGACTTGACAATTAACCCAAAAATTTTCTTTTCAAGATTCCCTAAAGATATCTTCACCCCTAGAAAG